GACAGAAGTTGGCCGTAGCCGGATCATCAAAAAGCAGTACTGTGGGGGAGACGAAACCCTGACCTTCGTTACAATGAAACACCGGAACCCCGAGAAGGGAATGGCCTCCCGCTCCCTTATCTGCTAGGAATAGCAGTCTCCCAAACATCTATGGGACATGCTTTTTTGGTGGGCATCAAATCAGGAGTAGGACGTAGTCAGAAGCCAGAGATGCAACTTTGTGATTACAGCAAATGAAACTATTAGTAAAAGACATCCCCAGCAAGCCGGCAGGACACCCACTTCAGTTTCCTCCCAAGGAAAGGGAATGCACAACAAGGATCCTGTGTGCCTTCTCCCATCATGGTCAAACACACACACACACACTCACACTTCACACACAAGTCCTTTGTTGAGATTTGAGGAAGGAAATGGGAAATTTAAAAGAAGAGCCTGAGAAGCTAATTTCATTTCATTTTCAGGGGGCTTCCCACCATCCTGGCGAAGGAGCCAGCACCACCTGATACAGACTGGAGCCCCTCCCATGGAGCCTGACTTTTCATCCTAGAGGTAAAGCAGAGAAGTTGCAGGGCTCAGGGCCAGAGAAGCTTCATCTGATGGGGGAAATCACTGTAGGCTCTGAAAGCAACCCCAGGTTGGCCTTGCAGGTGTGGTGGGTTTGTGTTTTGGTGGAGTGAACACATAAAAGAGGGGAGTGTGTGCAAAAAAAAAAAACCAAACCCCAAGGCAAAGCTCCCCAAACCCACTGGAGCTGGATCTGAAGGGGCAGCCAAACAGAGAGAGGCTCACCCTCTCCTTTCCAACTTCTTTGTCCTCTGTACTGATGGGCTAATTTGGAGTTCGTGAAGATGTACACACAGGTAGTACGTGCCCCTAAAGAGCTGGGCCCGGCAACAATGGCGGGGCAGGCCAGGGGTACCTGGGGCTGTTTCCTCAGAAAACTGGATAGGGAGGCTGTAGATCACCAAAGGACGAGAAGATTCTAGACAGAGTGAAAGCGTAAAGGCACAAATGAGCATGGCAGGGTGGCAGGGGTACTAGGGACCCAGAGGAGGCCTGGCTTGAATGGAGGGCCCCAGGCTGGGAGTGCTGAGAGGTGAAGAAGTGAAAAAAACCCAAAAAACCCAACAGATTATACTTGTCAGATACTACAGGTTATTGGCATGAGAGTGTTCCCTGCCCTTCCCTCAGGAAAAAATGTTTGCAGATCCATGTGAGGCTACGTGCTGTGCGCTCCAGCATGATGTCCACTTAGCCGCCTCACCTCTGGGAAATACACCGCTTGTCTTCAAAAGATCTGTACGGGTCCTAGGGAACCTGGTTGAGGTTCTTTCTCAGATGAAATACAGCAAGCTGAGGCAGCTGTGCCTGACATTTCCTGAGTGAAGCAAGGAGGGCTGTGCCTGGCTCTGCCTTGTCTGGGAGGGGAAACATTCCGGAAGGAGCCCGCACTCCCAGCCCCTACTCGGCCTCCCTGCTTCCACTCTGCTCTCTCGGCCTCAGAGTTGGGAGCCCTCTCAAATGTGTTGGGTTGAAGGTTGAGAATAAATCCTGGATGTGGGTTTTTTTTGTTTTTTTTTTTTTCCAAACTCCATCCAAGGCAGCCCTCCCACACTTCGCCTGTTGTCCCCAGCCCATTGGCAATGATGTAGGCCTGACCCCCAAAGCAAAGCCTCGCCAGTTTCTGGAGAAGTGTTAGGACCATGGAAGCATGGGAGCCGGGGGTCTCCCCAGAGCCCAGCAAGTCGGTGGTCTCTGTCCCGGCCTGTGGGGCGTGCATGTGGGGAGTTAAAATGCAGGCTTAGTCCCCCACTCCACACCTGCGGAGGGCCAGCAGGCCCGGTCTAACCCCCAATGGCTGGCATACAGGGGCCTCATTCACAATTCACTGTGTTTCAAGGGGCATTGCCTCTCACAGGCCAGTCTTCCACAGGGCCTCCTTCCTACGAGTGACTCCTGCTCACAGTCAGGCTGCTCTAATCTTGCAGATAGGCCTGAACCTCCCTCCCTCAGCACATTTTTTAGGAAGGGTGGTTTTTTTTTTTTCTCCCCCCCCCCTTTTTTATCATCATCAAAATATATTCACAAAACACCCACATCTCTGTCCACACTATAAATCAGGGTGGGGAGCCTCTGGCCCACAGCCCAGATCTGGCCCTCAGCTTGATTCATCTGGCATGTGGGGGATACTGTACTGCCTGCCACAGCTGCAACCCAGAGCATAATGCCTGCCTCCCTCCCTGCCTCCCACCCCCTGGACTGCTGGGGCCGGCCCATTCCAAAGGAAGCCTCGAAAATAGCCAGACTCAGATGGGGGGGGGGGGTGGCTCCTGTGGCTCCTTCAGTTACTCTTCAACAGGAAGCAGGATTACAGAGCCAGGGAGGTGATTTTCATAATGACAAAAGTCAATATTGAGCCACCACTTGGAGAATTTTCGGCACTGACCTAACAAAGCACGTTTTCTCATTTATCCTTCCCTACCCTTTTGTGCTAAGAACTCTTGTTTTCATCTGGAGTGTAGGAAGCAAGGGGCTCAGGAACTTGCCTGGCCCCACAGCTAGGAAGCAGCCCAGCTGGGAATTAAAGTAACCACTCGGCACTACTCTTTGCGGTGTCACTGCACCACACTGGTTCTCACGATTCCGGGGTCCTGTCTTCTCCTTGTCTCTGCATTACGTGCAGTAACCATGTGCTCGTTCTGGGGTGACAGCAAATTCAACTCCAGTCACTTCAGAGTGGCAACCCCTGCTCTGAGGATTTCTAAAACAAGCAAACAAAACCAAAGGGTAGAGAGCATGTTTAATGGGCTACTTATAATTTTAAAAGGCAGGGAAACTCTTTGCCAAGTCCAGGGCCCCAAAGAAATAGAAGAATACTAGGGGAGTTTATCACAAAGATTCCCTTTTACTATTTGTCCAGGTTGGTCATGACTAATCGAGGTCGGGGGAAAGTTGCAGGGGGTGCGGGGGAAGGGAGGGGGAGGAGGGAGGCCACCACCCCCCCCCCAGGAGCAAGCCCTCTGGTAGTCTCCAAGAGACCTCTTTAAACCCTCCCACAGTATCTCAACACCCAAAGCACCACTTCACCAAAGACTGCGTTGGGATGGCTTCTCTGTGCAGGTGAGCCAGAGCCCAGAACATACGCCCCAATAAAATACAGTACATCTCTGGGTACCAAGAAAGATGTTGTGAATCCAGAAATACCCAGCAGTTGAATGGTTAAAGACAAAAAGGGAGCAGGGGGTAAATTCAGAACCCCCAGCGCCAGACCATCTGTCTACCTTAAAAAAAAAAAAGAAAGAAAGAAATATAAGCTTCTGCCTGATGTGAAATCTACAAATACCAGTGGACCCACAAATACCCTGCTGACACTCCAAGGCAGCGGACAACTGCTTGGGTTTAGGAGAAACCAGGGGGAACTCGAGACTGATCCAGGAAAGAGGAGGCAGCTGCTTGGTGACAGAGCCCCAGAGCCCCCATGACTCCTGCTTCTTAAGGTCCAAGTGACCAGAGGTATAGAATAAAAGAAAGAGTCGACTGGGCCCCTAACCCCGCCAACAGGGTGGTCCAGAATCCGACAGCTGGTACTAACAGCCCTGGCAGCGCGACACTCCAAATGAGTACATCTCGTCCTCCCAAGATCCTCGGAAATGGAAGCTTTGCTATGCTCATTACTGAGAAGGCTCTGGCGCCCTCCAGCTCATCTGTACCTCTTCACCCTCTCTCTAAACATGTGTTGTCTGGCAGGCACAGCTGCAGGCTCGTAAAAGCCACGGCCTCAGACCTCCGGGAGACCCACGGAAAGGGGTCAAGGTGAGGATGATCAACCTGGAGGGCATCCGGTCAGAGCCCTAGAAGCAGGTGGCCCCACAGGCCTGGCCACAGAAAACCCATGGCTCTGTTTTCAGAACCTGCTTGTATCCCGCCCCGCATGGCAGTCCAGAAGCCAGTAACTCGGAGGAGTTTGGTTCCTACCCAGAGAGAAGTGTAGAAAAACTGCGAGACTCTAAGGAAGTAAATCAAAATAACAGTGCATCTAGAAGCCTGGTGACCTATTTCCTGAATCGGATGTTGGAATCGCCTTCCCACAGAACAGCCAATTGTGATGTGTTAGTATTTTCATGCAGCGCGGCCCTCTGGCATGGAGGCTCTGCCCCATTCCTTCCCAAGGAAATTCCACTGCAGGCAATGTTATGATTAGTGGACTAATAACACTTGTCGTTGGAACACTCCAGACAAAGCTGCAGTGTGGACTGGCCTCCAAGTCCCTTAATCACCTATTTCATCATCTCGACACTGGAGCCCTGGCAATGGGGATGGGTTTGTGGATCCCAATAATTAACCAAAGGGACAGCTGCTTACTTGCATGGGGATCTCCCATCCTTCCATTCATAATCCCAAGCCAAGCTGGGGTGTTAACCGGTGTGGCTGCCATGTCCGATACTGGATGGCGGTTAGAAAAAGAGATGCTGCCGGCTAATTCTGAAGCAAACCACCTGCCTGTTCACTCCTGACATTCACGCACACACATTTTCCTTGTGATCAACTTGCTGGGGTTCTGGGCGGGGCCAGGGGAGAGTCCGGGAAGTGTATGTGCACTAATGGGCCCCGCCACCTGATTGGGAACACTGCCAATTCTCAACACTGTAATGGCGAGCTCCGGTACCCTTCCCCCTGACATTGCATGGGGCTGGGGTGGGGAGGGGATATGGAATCTCTAATCACACCAAGGCCTCCGAAGAAACCAGTTGGGTCTCTGGGAAATGAGGCAGGATGGGGGGAGGACAGGGGGGACAGTCTACTCCACTCATTCATCTGGTCCCTTCTGATTGGGCTTCACATCAACATCAGTTCCTTAGCTGAAGGCAGATGCTACAGTCTTTGAATGAACTGATTTGGAAGTGAGCATGTATAAAAAGACAATACGATAACATAAACAAGTAGGGGAGAGGGAGACTGATACAATCATGGAAGGAGGAAAAGAATCTCCGGGGACTTACTGGTTTCTCAGAACTGCTGGCTAGCCTCAGACCAGTGGACTTGACTTCCTTTCTAACCATGAGAGCCATCGGGGCTTCTTGGCCACATCTTTGAGGGAAGAAATAAACATATAGAAAAAACACATGAAGGGAAAACTTAAGTTGCGGGGGGCAAGTAGTGAGAGCAAGACAGAGAGGGTGAGAAAGAAAGAAAGTAAGAAAAGGGAAAGGTCAATTATTGTTGGAAAGTAGAGTGCTAACGGCAACATCTGCAGGCCCTTAGCAGAAGCACTGGAGCTCTGGGGTGCCTAAAGCTGGCTTCAGGGAGAAGCGCTTTCCCAGCACACGGTATGTGATTATTTGGAACCCATCAGTGGTTCTCCTGATAACAAGATGCAAGGCAGGCAATCCTCGGCAATTTTCTTCCCACAAATGCACTCATCCACGGTTCCTGACATAACTACACTGCTCGTGGGATTCCCAGGAAGAGATGGCCGCTCCCAAGCCAACTGGGCAAATCCCAGGTGTCCACCCACCCCCACCCCTGTCCCCAGAACCTAGGTACCAAGAGAGTATGGCTTTTGTCCTCTCCTCCACCCTCCCTGAGAAGTACAAACCGCCCAGGGTGACCAGATAGCTCATGGAGCAAAGGCTCAAACATTCTCTGGGAAAGTCCCACCCAGATCCCTTTCCCACTGACCTTTCCAAAATTCATTTGGCTTTGCTTTGGGCTCCACAAGTTATGAAAGTTAGCTTCCAGGGGAGCTAGAGATGAGGCATTCCCAATGTGGGATTTAGACCTCTGTTAATTTCCACCCAACTGCCAGAGTATAGTTTGGGGGCTGTTTCTCCCTCATATTTAGACAATGACGCAAAACCTGTTGATTTGTTTAGACACAATTGTCCCTTAGCAGGACAGATGGTATTCAACAGAATGGAATAATTAGGAGATTTAAACGAAATAATTATGTGGGAAAGTACGGTTGGAGTCAAACATGCCTGGTAATCTATCTATACGGAAGATTCATGTTTAAAATGTGCATTAAAATTGTCATTCTAGATTCTGCTGCCTTGTTATCCTGAAGTAAAACAATACTTTATCGATGGGAGATGTTTCATATCATGCTGTTAAAGACAAACATGATTTTTTAAGAATCGTGGGAACAGTGACATGAAACATTCAGTTTATTTTCATCTCTTCCTGGGGAAACTGAAGTTCCTGGTGAAACAACTTTATGAGGCAATGGCTTAATTACACTAAATGCTTTTTAAAAAATAACACAGCGGGGTGGGACTGGGGGGTGGTGGGAGCTACCTTGTTAAATTGTTTTGTTTTTTTTTTTTACTTTGTGCTGCCCTTGGCTTTCCCCATAGCTCAGGGTCCAAAAGATGGGACTCTTTTCTGCAACGTACACTTCTTGAAATGAAAGCTGCATGTGTAATGCTCTTTACTAGGCACACATCAGTCCTCTGCCCACACAAGTGGGGATGAAAGAGCCTGCCTAAGACACTTAATCTCGAGACAGCTGACTCCTGCAGCCAACAGGAGGCCTAACTGCAGGGAGGAAGCCAATTAACTCCAGCTCACACTCTTGGCCACATGGTTTGCTTCTTGCCTCCTCATGGCCAGGGCCACCGAGCTCTCTTTCACTTGTGTGATCTGACAAAGGCAGAGTAGCGTGATTTGGGCCCAGCACCTGGATGGGGTACTAAGCCAGAATGACAACGTGCAATAATACTATCTGCCCAATTCAGAAGGTCTGGAACCGGGGGGAAAGAGTGGACTTTGAATTCGGTGGATTTGGGATTATTTGAGTTTTATTTAAGTGAGGCATCCCGTCTTGATCTCAAAAATTCATCCCGACTTTAACATTCTGTAATTCCTTGACATCATCTGCCAAAGCTGAACATACACGTACAACCCAGGACTCAGTAATTCTGCTCCTAGTACACTGACTCAACAGAAACGCATGCGCATGTGCTCCAAGGCACAGGCACAGAAATATTCCTAATAGCCCACACCGATAGTAACTCAAAGGTCCATCAAGCATAGAATGGATAGACTGTGACAAAGTCATTCAATGGAGTGCCATACAGCAATGAGAATGAATGGTCTACAGCTATAAGCACATGTGTATATAAATCTCACAAGGGTGACGTTGAGCTAAAGAAGCCAGACACAAAAGAGCACACTTGTATGATTCCATTTACATGAAGTTCAAATGCAGGCAAAGCTAATCTATGCTGTGAGAGGTCAGGACGCTGGTTAGCGCTGACAGGGAGTAGCTGGGAGAGATGAGAGGTGTGGTAGGTTGTATGGTGGCCCCCCAAAAGATATACCCACATTCCAGAACTTGTGAGTGTGAACTTCTTTGGGGGAAGAAAAAGGGGTCTTTGCAGATGTCATTAAATCAAGGATCTTGAGATGAGATCATCCTGGATTATCTGGGTGAGCCCTCAGTGACAAGTATCCTTATAAGAGGTGGAAGAGGAGACACACAGACGGATAAGGAGAAGGTCCTGTGAAGACAGAGGCAGAGATTCACAGCAATGTGTCCCCGAGCCAAGGAAGGTCTGGAATCGCCAGAGGTGGAAGAGGAGAGGAAGAACGCTCCCCTAGAGCTCTCAGAAGGAGCACGGCCCTGCTGCCATCTTGCTTTCAGACCTCTGGCTTCTCAAACTGTGAAACATTTCTGTTGTTGTAAGCCGTTATGTTTGTGGTGATTTGTTATGGCAGCCCTAGGAAACTAATACAGGAAAGGTGCTCTCTTTCTTGATTTGGGCGCTGATTATGTAGGTAAGTTCATTTTGTAAAAATTCATCAAGCCATACACTAACCATCTGTGCACTTTCTTACATGTATAGTATACTTCAACAAAACATTCATTTAAAAAAACCCATGATTCGAGGCGCCTGGGTGGCTCAGTTGGTTAAGTGACTGCCTTCGGCTCAGGTCATGATCCTGGAGTCCCGGGATCGAGTCCCGCGTCTGGCTCCCTGCTCGGCGGGGAGTCTGCTTCTCCCTCTGACCCTCCCCCCTCTCATGTGCTCTCTCTCTCTCTCTCTCAAATAAATAAATAAAATCTTTAAAAATCAATCAATCAATCAATCAATCCACGATTCGATAACCTAGTTTCCAGTTGCCCACCATTTTGAGTAAAGAGAGGCTGGCTTTCTGAGGTTCCATTGTTTATATTTCAGCCTGGCTTCAGAGCAAGGAAGGCTTTCCACCAAATCAAAAAGTATGCCCCTAACAAATGTATACCCCTGGTCTTTCCTTCCACGCAGCACGGTGAGGGGAATGTTGGAAGACAGGAGGTCAGAAGCAAGGAGCAAACATCCATTTTCATATTTTCCTCTTTGAAGTTGGCAACAAGAGTTCAGAGATAACAGATCTCCAAGAGAGCAATTGTCTGGAGGTGCTGGGTAATGAGAGAGTGACCAAGACCTTATTTTTGCTCAGAGTGGATCAGCTGTAAACCTTCTGCGATCAACAACAAGAAACAGCCAAACCATCACCCCACCTCAAGAGATAATTTTGCAGTGGGTGGAGAAGCATGGCAGAGAGTTCGTGTGTTATTAAGAATGACATTTAAAGATGGTTTCCTCTTTCTCAAAAAACAAACAAAAAACACACTTGGCAGCGCACACCAGTTAAACCAGCAGAGGGTTCAGATTTTTTTCCAAAAGAATGAGATGTCTCTAAAATGAGCAGGTTTTCCATTTTCTACCCTCTCCAACCCCAGGCAGAGGATTTTGAACGTGCACTCCCCTCACACTGGCTTTGAAGAAGTCAGTACTTGCCAGGACTGTGGACTCCAGACGAAAGCCAGGTGCAGATGGAAGGGACTGCAGAGAGCAGGCCCAAATCCCCTCAGCAGGGATTAGTGAGGAACAAAGCTGGCAGGGTGGGGGTTTCAAACAGTCACAGGTGCAGAAAGGCACAGGACAGGGGATGGGGTGTCGGGGAAGGGCCTTTTTCCACCCTCACGGAAGTCAGCTCTCAGGCATGTCTGCTTAAAGGGGGCCATGGCTGCCTAAATCCAGCTATTCAGTTCCAGTTCAAGGAGACCTCAGTGACTGAAGGTGGGCAGCCAGGCCTACTATTTCCTCCATGATGGAGCAGACTCTCCCCTGTGAGCCCTGCCCAGGCACCTAGAACACGGGACCCTGGCCCCATGGTCTGGGGCATGTGGTGTGAAGTAAAGACAACGGCGGTCTTCCTCCAATTCGGAGAGGGGTTTTGGAGTCCACGGTAGTAGGAATAAGCAAAGTTTTGGCAACGGTTTGGGTGCTGACTTCCTTAAGGGGCCAAATCGGGCTAAAATGGATGACTTCTTGGGGCACCTGGGTGGCTCAGTCAGTTGAGTGTCTGCCTCTTGATTTCAGCTCGGGTCATGATCTCAGGATCGTGAGAGCAAGCCCTTCGTTGGGCTCTGCGCTCAGCGGGGAGTCTGCTTAAGATTCTCCCTCTTCCTCTGCCCCTGCTCGCTCTCTCTCTCAAAATAAATGTTTTTTAAAAAATGGATGACTTCTCTAAATTCCCTCCTGCATGGAATCCTCAAACGTGTGTGCTCTGTTCTGTGTGGAAGCTGTGTGTCTCGTCTTTTAGAGTGTGAGTTCCAAGGATGGCCAGGGCCAGGCCCTCTGTTTCTGTTGTCACCTTTGAGCTGCTGTCATCTCCATGCAGCTGTTAATGCAAAGAAAAACAAAAGGAAGAGAGAACAAAGAAACGTGAAGACAGAAGGAAATGGCCCATGTTCCATATTAGGCCACTATGGGATGGGCACAACAGTGACTTCTTCAGCAAGAAGAAAAACTTCACTCCAGGATTTGAGGGGGGAAAATGAGAACTTAGGGGGCAAAAAGAAGAAAACGCCCACCTAGAAGATGTGAAAAGAAAGGCAATGTTTATGAGACCAGATAATAAGTAACTGATTTGAAAAGAAGTCAAAACATAAATCTAACACTGGAGGTTAACTATACTGGAATTAAAAAAAAATTTTTTAGGGGCGCCTGGGTGGCTCAGTCAGCTAAGTGTCAAACCTTTGATCTCAGCTCAGTTCTTGATCTCACAGTGATGAGTTCAA